TGGGCCGACATTTTTGTTTCACAGCAAACCTACAGGATGATCTGCCAGTCTATTATAGTCTGGTCTTTTGTTGGTTCTTGTGTACCAGAAGACTCTCTCTCACTCTCTCTCTCCACTTACAGTTGAACCCAGAGAACAATGAGCTACATTTCCCTACATTTCCATTCCTTTTTATTTACAGACAAGTTCTCATTAATTTGCTTAGGCTGGCCTCTAATTTGTTTCTCCTGCTTCATCTTCCTAAATAAGTGGCATTATGGCAGGTGCCACCATGTCCAGCCAGAGAGCGTTTCTCAACTCCTTGCATTGCTGAGAGCTCACACAAGAGTCCATAAAGGTCTGAGAATCCTCTAAGACAACTGTTTAATGTTATCTTTCAACTTTTATGATAGCATTAAAAATATGCACATTGTCCAACTGATCCCCTTATAATGTTTGGTTTTGGTTTCCTTATTTGAACCTGTGTTTATCACCAAGATGGCATCAGGAGACCAGTGAAACGGATAGCATCTACCTCTTGATCTGTTAGAAGCATGTCTGTCACTGTTGGCAGCCACTCGGTTGGCCTGGCTTCTGGTCTAGGCTGGAAGACTGAGACCTTCCTGGCGCTGGTGGGGAGAGGCTCTCAGGTTCCCACACCTCTTTGACTTGTATCTTGGTTACTTTTTGTGTTGCTATGACAGAAGTACCCAACAACACCCAAAGTTAAAGGAGGAACAATTTCTTTGGTGCACTGTTTGTAGAGGTTTCAGTTCAAAGCTGGTTGGCTCTAAGACAGGATGGCACTGCAGAGGAGAACCAGTTCATGGCAAGCAGAAGACAGCAAAAATGGAAAGCTGTATGCAACAAGCAACAAATGACGAGCCTTTTTCTGACTCTTACATCTTATCCAGGCTACTCTAAGTGCGGGTAGCGCTCAACGACTAGCACTGCATCTCGACCCCAGCATCACACTCCCTATATCCAGCCACCTCTGAGAAGCATCACCTGTGACTGCATGAGGCATTGGGGAACACAGGGAACATCTAGAGACAAGCCATAACAACTTGCCTCCTACAGCCTTCTCCTCAGTCCCATCTGCCTCCTTCCTTTACATTTGCTCCCTCAAGGATTTTTGGGACTGGCTCTTTTCCCCAAGTCTATTTCCTGCAGATGTCTGAGAATAACTCCTTCCGCTCCTCAAGGTCTTTGCTTAAGTGCTTAAGTTTCTCAAGCCTATGTAAAATTGTAGCTCCTCTACCCCCGTCACTCTGTCACTCAAACCTTTTTTTTTCAGGAGTGCAGATCTAACTCAGGGCCTTGGGACCTACGTACTTACCCTAGCCCTGCTTATTTTTATTTTGAAACAGGGTCTCACTAAGTCCCAAATTGTCCAGGGTAGGCTTGAACTCACAATCCTGCTTTAGTCTTCCAGAGTGCTGGCATTAGAGGCCTGCACCACCACATCTGGCTGGTTCTTGCCATCTTTATAATTCATCTCTTTATTATAGCTGTTGCTTCTGGTTCATGTGCTTCACTCCATTGGAATGCATGCCCACGAGAGCAGGGATTTTTGTTTATTCTCTTCACATAGCAAGGTGGCTTCCACACAGTAGGTACCTAATAAATATTTGATGAAAAAATGAACTCTTTTTTAATGCCCAGTGTACAACAATCACCTTATAACTGCCCTTATACTAAATGTGCTAATCAGTTTTATAAAACAAAACTCTTTTCAGAGATAACTTGCAGTGGAAAGACATTTTGCAATGAATAAAATGTTATGCTTAAATATATTTTTCTGGTGGCAGTGTGGCTCAGTGGTAGAGTACTTGCCTAGTATACAAGAGACCCTTGGTCCAATCCTAAGCACCATAAAATAAATATATATAAATGTCTGTTTTCCTCAAAGTGGAGTTCAGGAGCATAGGCCCAGAGAGTGAGAGGTCCTAGGTTTGATTAGTACTTCTCTAGCATTTTCCTGACTCTGATCGCTGACCATATTCTGTCTGTCTGTCTGTCTGTCTGTCTGTCTCTCTGTCTGTCACCTGGGTCAGGAACAGACATCATGTCATGTTGCCATCTTCCATTATGAGGGACTCCTCATTGACAGTCATAACCTGCTTCACCCTCCCTAAGAGGAGCTTCTCAATTTTTGTACAATTCCAGAGTAATCTTTCTTTTTTTTTTTGTTCTCTTTACATAATTCTCTTCTGCTTGCCAATTTTTAAATATCCTTAATTTTTCCTAATAAAAAGAATTGCATTTTGCTTATTGCAAAATAAAATTTAAACTCTACAGACATACAAAGAAATAAATACCCCAAAATTGAAATCAACCAGATACATAAAATATACCTTCAGGAGCTTGCTTCTCTGCCTATAAATGCAATACCTCATCATAACCACCAATACCACTTGGATGCAGTTCTTGTCTTTTCTCTGTGCACCTATTGTGTTGAAATACAGGCAGCTGCTCATGTTCAATCACTTTTTATGGCAGTTGTATATGATTCAAACGAGTAAATTCACCCAGAACAGTTCATACTATGCATATAATTTTACTCTTCATTCTTTTAATGTTATTACAGCAGCACCACTTGCCCATGTATTTCCGGATTCTTGGGCCCTTCCTGAGCTTGCATTAACAGCACAAATAATTCATGAGCATTAGCATGTCACCTGGGACTGCTGCCCTGTCAATCAGTGGAGCAATTCAACTGGTGCCCAGACCTCCTGAGTGTTGACGTGAAAGACAATCCTCAGTGCTTCTTTCAGGAAACTTTTCCTACACCTTCACCAATCACTTGTATGCAGTGCCTTGCACCAGATCCTCTGCCCAAATGGCTGTTTCTGAGTCTGCTGCTGCTGACTGTACTTCTTACTCATCTGTCACTCCTCTTGTGTGAATCTGGTTCATTACTAGTGACATATAATTAGTGTGTGGCATATCTTCCTCTCCAGTAATATGCTCCTCTGATTTGTTGTCATTTCATCATTTCTGGGAGGAGTAAAGTCTACTAGCACTATTAACAGATAGAGGTAACTGATGTTTATAGCTACTGCTGGAGCCCTGCAGAGCCACGGATGGGATCCAGCATCAGGAACATTAGCTCAACATCTTCTCATCCCAGCAGAATCTCAAGGAGTCTGTACAGTGAGTGGTTCCATGAGGTTGTGACCCTCCTCCACATGCGTCCTCTCCAGACCAGACTCAGTATCTGGAACTTGCCACCACCTGTCCCCAGCTGGGTCTAATTTCCTCTAGATCTGGCTTGGTTTACCCATAGACTAAGAAGAGTATATGTTTATCCAAAAGGCCCATTTGCACAATATTTGGGAGGCTGGGATATAAGATGAACTGTCATTGCTGATAATAGCATGGTACACTCCAGGTGCAATGGATTAAAGGACAGACTTTAACATTCTGGCCCTCGGAATAAAACAGTAAGGGGAGACCAGAAAACTAATCTGTAACCTACAAATACATCAATGGATAGAGAAAATAAGGCAAAAACAAACACAAACGAAATAATACAGGACTCCTGTTGTCCATCCAGGGAAAATAGCCACATGAAGACACAGCAGATCACAACCTAACACCCCCGCCCAGAGGTCAGATAGGCTTGCTGACCCTGTTAAAGCTGTGAACAGGGTTGGAGTTGTCTTCTCTTTTGTAAATCCAAGCTAAAAAATGCTCACTGTAAGGATTCTAAAGATTAAAGCAAGAATGTGTGTGAAACACTGACCACATCTGAACTTGATCTTAGGAGTTATCAGACTTATGCAAAACAAAAAAATTTAATTTGATCTTTATGCTTATTATTGCGATTACATTATGACATTCATAAACTTTAAAGTTCACATAGATAAAATAAAAAACAATTCCGCTACCAAACATCTCAGACTATTATCTACATTTTCCTATGTTTCTTTTTCCTTCTAATCTTGGGGAACATGTCATCACCACTTTTACATGATTTATTTGTGTTTCCAGCATTTCCACTTATCACTATTTCATTGGACTTCCTGTTAGAGCATGCTCTTTTTAATTTAGTGTAAAATAGTTATTATTTCAACCCTTTATTACTGCAACTTATTAACTAGTTCTCTGTTGTTGGGTATTTAATTTCCAATTTGGGAAATATTGTGTCATTTTGATCCTGTTTCTGTTATGGCAATTTGAAAGCATGATTTAAAACATAGTTAGGTCTTTTTCCTGAGGTGTATGGTTATTTCTAACAAATTTAAGTGCACTGCTTAAACTGATTGTTGACGGTGGGGAAAGAAAGTGTCTTCAGTCTAGTTGACAGCAGACTGGTTCAACTTCAAGAATTCACGTTTGTTAACCTGTTTCTTGACCTCAGCTGTTGGCAAACTGATATGAGGATGGATGATTGAGACAGGCACTCAAGAAATGAATCTGGGGCCTGTGAGTGTAGTTCAATGGTAAGGCTGCATGCTTAACCTGTATGAGGCCCAGCATTAAAAAATACAATTTGAAGTCAACTTGGGCTACACAGTGAGTGCGCTCAGTGAACTTTTCTTCTAGATTAATAATTCTTTTTTTGTACTGGGAATCAAAGTGAGAACCCTGTGCTTGCCAGGCACGTGCTGTGCCGCTGAGCCATAGCCCCCAAAATAAAAATAAAAATAAAATAAATGGACCTTTAAAGTGAACCAAACAATTTCATGCTGTTATCTCAGTCAGTGCCCCCTGCCTGAGGCGCCCAGGTCAGAGTGGGTGTTCCTATCGTTTGAAGCAGAGAGGATATGGCGATTGTCCCACATCACACAGCAGCTGGCAAAGGATCGGAGTATGCAGTATGCAGACTCTGAACTGCAACTTTCCCATCGCGCTCTGGAAAATTTGTTCCCGAGCCTTTCAGAGAAGTGGCGGAAGGAGGAGCCGGGAGAGACAGGTGGGGCTTTGCTGGGGGTGGGCGGGGCAACTGGCCTGCCCCTCCAAGGGGCTCCTCCTTCCGGCCTCGGCCCCGCCCGGCTCCGAGCATGCCCAGTGCGCTCCCCGCCCGTCCGAACGGTACTGGATGGCGCTGCGGCTCCAGGTTTTGCTGGTGACCAGGCCGGGTCAGGGCGGGGCTCGCGCCGGGAGCCCCCTGGACTCCAGGCCGATCGGAATTCCCCAGCCTCGACGCTCCTACTCTTGTCGGCTGCCAGGCGCTGGAAGGGTCTCCGAGTGGCCCTGGGACAGATGGCCCTCCGGACCTCGGACGCACAGGTCGGACCGGAGGCTCCAGCCATCCCTCCATCCTTTTGTTCTTGTATCCGTTTCATCGAATAGTTCCTAACCCCTGCCGTGTGCCGGGCTCTGTTGTAGGGGCTGGGACAGGAGAGGGGACGGGCGTAGCGGCAGCTCGGGAGCCGGCATTCTGGAGATGGACACACCTTAAGAAGTAAGCCAATCCGAGGAAAAACCAGATTCCCGACTCATCCGCCACTCTGCCCTCCCGGCAACCCATACGCTGTCTTGAGGCTTATGGTCTTTCCACCGGGTGTCCCCTTCTCTAAGATTGTTCCCCGTTTATATTCGTGGCTGAAATGTCACCTCTCAGTGTCACCCGACCTGGCCATCTGATCGGCTCAAGCAACCCGATCTGACCTGACCACCTCAATGAAAACTGCAGTACCTCCACCAAGCCTTTCCCCTGGCGCTTTTTCCCCTCTACAGAACTTTGCACCTTCCAATATGCAACATAACATCTTTGCCAACTTGCTGTTTATCTGTTGCCTGTCTCACCTCCCCAGATTCCACCAAGGGCCAGGGTTTTTGTTAACCGCGTGTGAAGGTCCGGTCTAGGTGCTCAATAGATGTTGAATGGATGAACAGTGATCATGAAAGTGCAACTTGGGGAATGATGAGGGGCAGAGGGCTGACTTAGAAAAATGAAGGCCTCTCCAGTGGGGGACATTTATTCCATGGTGAGGCGACAGCCATGAGAAATGCTAGGCAGAGACGTCTTACACTGAGGGAAAACATGTGCAAGGGTCCTGAGGCTGATCAGTTCTGAGTCTCTGATGGACAGAACGGTGCTCCTTGCAGGATGCCAGGTGAGACAGAGCAGAAGAGGCCAGCAGAAACACAGGTCAGGTCAGGTGTGTGTGTGGGGGAAGGGGGGGCTTGAGTTTCAAAGGGATGTTTACTAGAGCAACTGGACAGCACTGGACAGGGAGTCTGGGGACCCCAGCTCTGCCACAGAACTGCCATGCAAGGCTCGCTCTCATTGGAAAAATTTGTTGAACCCAAATGCATGCCATTCCTAGGCATGAAACGACTGAGGGCCTGGCACACAGTAGGTGCCTGATAAATGTTTACGGAGTGAATCCCCTGCGTGCATGCACGAGCCTGGGAACTCAAGCCAGCCCGCGCCACAGGAGAGCCCCGGTAGCCCCGGGAGACGCGTCGGAGCGCGCGGGCCGTGCTGGGGCGGGGCGGGGGGCGCCCTGCAGGCCAGCCAGGCGCCCGCCCCCCGCCCGGCGCACGGGCCCGTCGTGGCCAGCCCGGCCGGCGGGAGCCGCCCGCAGGCGGCACTGGGCATGCTCAGACGGCGGCCAGGTCGCGCCGCGAGCGAGCTTCCGTGCCGCCCGCACGCGCGACCTACCTGGGCGCCCCGCGCCCCCGGATGCGGCAGGTACGGGCCGGCGCGACCCCAGCGGGCGGGGACAGGGCTCGGGCGGCTGAGGCCGGGTCGCCCTGCGACACCCCGCCCCCACGGCCCCGGGCGCTCGGCGGACGCGCGGGCGGGCTGGCGGGCGCGGCGCCCTGGGTCCCCGGCGCCACGTCGGGGCGGGGAGGGGGCGCCCGCCGCGCTCACCTGGCGGGCCGGGGCGGAGGGGCGGAGGGCTGGGCAGGGCCGGGCAGGTCTGGCTGGACCGGGTGGGGCTCGGCCGGCTGGTGTCCGGGACGCGGCGGCAGCGGCGGCGGGCGTGGGCGTGCGCTGCGACCGAGCCCTGGCGCGCGCCCTGGAGCCCTGCGCGTCCGCGACCCGCGCTGCAGGAGTTTAGGGGCGCCCAACCTGCGGGGGCGAGCTGACCGCGATGGCCGGACCTCGGTTCTTAGGGTGAATCCGCCTCTCTGCTTTCAAAGATGGCATTTCCTGGGCCTGGCAAGAACTCCAGCGCCAATAAATCCTCCCCATTCCGCGGGTGATAAGGAATGATTTATCAGGTAACTGCGGTGAGACAGCTGCAGTGGGGGTGTGTATGGGAGAGCGCCCAACTCCCCGGAAATTCCCGTTTTCTGACCACTTAAAACTTATGGAGAAGTTGCGGTCGCCTTAAAAATTCATGGGAAGTTGAGACAACTTGACACCTGGGTTTTCCGAGGTGGTGGAAAGAGCCTGTGGCTAGGAAACGAGATCCTTGTTCAAGTTGGGCTCCCCTTTGGCCAGCTGGTGACCTTGCGCGAGTCTTTTAACCTCGCTGAGCCTCCACTTCCTCCCCTGCAAACAGCCGGTAATAATGCCCACCTCACTAGCTTGTTGGTGGATTAAGTGGGATAAATTATGCGGAGGTGTTTGGCTCTGTGCCCAGCACAAAGCAAGCAAGCAAGCAGTTGGCGTGATGTGAATTTAATTCATTTAGAGACCCTCGTGGCTCCCATTTCACCAGGAAATTAGAATTAGGAAAGCTTCTTCAAGGCCTGTCTTTGTGCCCAGGAGAACTTCTGAAGGCAGAGGCTTTGGAAAAACAATTCAGCCGAATTGTAATCAGAGAGCACCTTCTTTAGAGGCAGTTTTATGCATTCAGAAAACTCCAGAAGTTGGCAGTTTGGCTTCACTTACACAAGAGCTGTTTTGCAAGATGACCCATCTTGCAAATGTTTAAAGCAGATGATTCGAGAAAGTAAAGCTTGGCTAGGAAGTTTTCTGTTCTTTCCAGGCCCAACTTTAAATGATTATTTAGATCAGAGTTTCTCAATCTCGCACTGTTGACATTTAGATTTGAGTATTCTTTGTGCTGTGTGTTGTAGGAACCCCTGGTCTCTTTATTATGATCTCTGTTTATTAGAGTATAGTAGCAGTCTCTGTCCCCCCCGTAGTGCTTACCAGAAATGCCCCCCACATCGTCAGCCTCCTGCCGTGTTTCTTCTCCTTTAGAATCACCAATTTGGATAATTTCTGCTCTCTGTCATTAGCCTGAGTTGTTTGAGAAGTTTTTCTTGTACTTTTATAATAATATTTAACTTTTGCCTTCCCTGACAGAGCTGTGGAAAGTACATGTATTGTCTCTAATTTTTACAACTTCCCTTCTGAGGTGGCATTACTGCCATTTTACAGATGAGGAAATTGAGGCTCTGAGTAACTGATTACATAGTAGGTGGCATGGCAGGGTGTAGCCTAGTTTCTAGGATAGGTCTTTTTCTTCTCCATCAATGACACTTTGATGTATAGAGACCTTGCCATAGATGACGTTCCTGATGATTGAATCAAGATGTGGTGAATATTGGCAGCTGGAAACCTTTCTGAGATTGACTAGTTGAAAATTAACAACAGTAAGCTATTATCTGACAGAGAGTAGGCTGTTCTAGTTAAATATTCTAGTTTATAGCGAGCTCCCATAAATCTCACATACAGTTAATGGAATACCAATTTGCAGAAAATTAGAGTAGGATAAACCATGCCTAATACTTTGTATCGATCCCACACTGTCTCTGGTGATTTGCCTTCTCCTAAAAAGGGCTCACATACAAATTAGACATTAGCTGGGGCACGGAAAAGGTCAAGTTCCTGAAGGCATTTGGGAGTAGCTGAGGCCTGCCATTGGACAAGCATTTATTGAGCTGCTTCTGCATGCAGGTGCAGTGCTGGGTGGGAATGCAGAGCAGGTTGCTGGGCTCCAGTGTGTCCAGGGTAACTAGATGAACTGTCTTTCTCCTGGGGAGAAGAGAGCAGCCATTGGGTGGGCCCTCAGAGATAGCATGAGGCAAGAGGCAGGACCCAGGTGACCTTGAGGCAAATTCAAGACCCCACAGTGTGTCTTCCTCTGGTGTCAGTCCTCATTGTGTCTGAACCATACCAAAGATTCTTCCGCAGCTTTGAACATTCTGATCTGTGTTTTAGGGGCCTGGTTACAGAGAGAAGGGCATGGAAAAAATCTTATCCCGAAAAGAAGTTGGGTAATTGGTAATTGGAGTGAGGATTGCAACCAACTCCTTGACTGTTGGATGTGAACTGGGACTTTAATTACAATGTTGTTGCCCCCTCCTCCCATCCCTTTGCAGATGAGCCAGCAAAGGTAGTGTGTCCAGGAACAAGACCACTAATTGTGACCTGAGCTGTAGGTGCAGGCACACAAGGGATTCTGTTTTCCAGAATGGATAGACTCAGGGGAAAGGGCTCCAGCTTTGAAGATGGGAGACAAGAAGATACGGACCCCCCCACCTCCACTCATAGGCACTGCGGCAGGTTGAGAAGAGACCAGCAATTTGTAGTCCTCTCCTTCTTTACACAAGAGACTTCCTCTTGACTGTAATTCCCCAGACTCACTGTCCTGCCATCGTACAATGAGTTCCTGGAAAGCAAAGCTGAAACCTCATCTCTCCTAGGGTCTTTCGCAGGGACTGGAATGCCAAAGGCACCACACTCAGCATGTGCTCTGTCCTGGCTGGACCATGAGGCAGGGCCACTCACCAGCCTTACGCTCTCCTTTACAACTCTAACCCAGATGGCTTGGGGCCAGCTCACATCATAATGTTCTTTTCTGGGCCCAGACAACATCAAACTTCAGCCTGACAGGTGTCTCCTTTTCTGCACCTGAGAAGGAGACTTCAGTAAGGTGCTTGCTAGGCCCCTAGCTGAAATCTCATCTGGCTGCGACTTCTAAGACCCAGAGATCTTGCATTTCTAGAGCTTCTGCTCAGTGTTTGTACCTGAAGCTTCCTTCTTCCTCCCACGTTAACTAGTTATTCCAAGGCCAGCTGTGTGTGCTGATTAACAGTAAGTTCAGACAGCTGTTGAGTTTATACTATGTGTTAGGCTCTAGGGCTGCAGAGAAGACCCTGCCTTGGAAGGATTCGTGGCAGAGTTAGGAAGACTGTGTGTATGAGTGTCTCCAAAACATGTCTTCCGTCTAATTGCTGCTTTAAAGGGTATTTAAGCCAAATGCTAACAGTACTAAATGAAGCAACTGTGCATCCTGAGGGCATCAAGAAATACCCTAAGGAGTAGTTGACATTTGTAATATATCTTGGAGATAGAGAGGGCATTTGGGGTACATACCATGACTGGAACAGAGGCGTGAAGAGACCTTGCATATGGTAGGCATGTTGACTCTTCTCAAGCCCAGCCTCTTATTTATTTATTTTAGACAGGGTCTTGCTGTGTTGTCCAGTCTGGCTCAAGAGTCTGCTGCTGCCTTAGCGTCCCACGTAGCTGGGACAGCAGACCCACTCCAGCCCAGACTCTTGATGTCAGTGGTGCAGGGTCCCCTCTGGCACTTGGGATACCCTTAGCGTGTCTGTCTGGTACCAGGCTTTACCCAGGGCAGGGCTAAGTGCTAATTCTTTTTTATCTTCCCCAGTTGGGAGTGATGCCTCTGGCTGGCCTTAGAAGCAGGAGGAACTTGTGCCAAGGATGCTTCTTACACTTATCAACAGGAGTATGGTCTTTCCTGACTCTGGCACAATTCTGAATGCTTTCCTAGCGTTAACCTCCTTGTTTATACCTCGCTGGTGGTAGGTTGTGGGGCAGAGCTCACCCCTGCCCAGTGCGTGACATTCTGATTGTGGTGCCAGCACTGCTAGCTGGAGCTGACATAGGTGTGGAGGAGCAGCCACCACTGAGGGTGTGAGGGAGTGCTGACTGCCGAGGATTTTTCTCTCTGCATTTTCTACACCAAAGACCAAGATCTGTAACTTTAGAAAGAAAAACTGCTGCTGCTTTGTGTAAGAGGAGGTTCAGGAGGTGTTTGGATGCAGAGAGAGTGGAATTTTTGAGACATTTTAATGGTTTATATGGAAAGTTAGCACAGAGGATTTGCAGTCAGGATAGTCCTGGAAAATTCAGGTCCCATGACTTACTGTCAGGATACACAAGCTTTCAGCAACTGTTTATGCAGCATGTAGGTTTCCCCATAAGGGAACAGTGGTGTTTTCTGGCCTCTCACTAATGCTGATTACCAGTCCCATTGTACAGATGCAGTGAGAAAACTGAGGCTCTGAGAGCTGAAGTGCCTACCTGAAAGGCACAGTGCGTAGAAGCAATGTGGTCAAGATTTGAATCCACGTATGCGTGTAGACATGATTTATCTGTGAAACGAAGATCATAGCAGAACCAGTTCCTATAAATTGACTTTTTTATTTTTCTATTTTTTGGTCTTTTTGAGACAGGGTCTCATTATGCAGTTTAGGCTGGCCTTGAGCTCACTTTGTAGCCCAGGCTGGTCTTGAACTCACCACAATCCTCCTGCCTCAGCCTCCCGAGTGCTGGGATTACAGGCATGCCCTGCTATACAAATTGACATTGAAACAAGCAAATTGCCCATTAAAATTTGACAAAAGATCCCTTCCTTTTGGAGTTAGACTCCTGACTCTGCAGACAAGTGCTTCGTTCGGTGAGTGCTGTGTCACTTCAGGAGCTGGACACTGTGACCCACCCTGGCTGGGTGGTATGCACAGGAGGGGCCCTTGGCTTGGCTGTGGGGTGTGGAGACCTGGCCTCTGCACCCGCCGCCTCCACATGAGTCAGCCTTAGGAGCTGGACCAGAGGTTTCATGTGTGTCCTTTCAGCGAGGGAGGCAGCAGCCAGCTCTGTCACTGTCCCTGAATGCCCATGTTGCTGGGCTTCCCCAGATCTGGTTGCCAAACATGTACATCGTGATTGGAGAAAGCTAAAATGCCAGGGAGCAGCAGAAGCGTATTTATGGTGCTTCTGGAGGCAGCTGTCACCACGCCCGCCACTCATGGCCCCCACATGCCCTCTCACCCTTTCA